CAGGAGCTGCACCTTTGAACTGTGGGCCTGACTTGGCAGTTGGCACAGGCTGCTGCCACCAGGCCCCCTCCAGCTGAAGTCAGTGGCAGTAGGATAGAGTTAGCACAGAAAATGAAAAAAAAACAGGAAAAAGAAAGCAAGCACCTGCCTGCTGCAGCAAACTGACTCAAGGAGAAACACAACAGTCACTGGTCAGAGATGTTCCCTCTCCTTCAGTCCTGACAGAGCAAACACGTCTCTCTGCAGGCTGTGAGCAGCTGCCAGCCACTCACAGCCACCTCAGTGCCCCTTGGCAACAGGTACACACAGATATGCTGCTCTTAAACTACCAGTCACCCGAGGCCAGGAGCTATGCAGAAAGTTTGAATATAGATTAACAGACTCATAACTTTGCTTAAAAGTATGCTATACACTGGGGAGGCTGAGCCAGCTGCTACAACAGCCTCTTAGTAGGGCTCCTGTCCATTAAAGAAAGAATAATTCACAAGAAGTGGCTTCAGAGTGGATCAAAGCACAAAGGAGAGAGGGGAAATTATAATTTTGAAAAAGATGTGCACAAACAACACATTTGGGCAACTGTGGATTGGTAAGTGCTATTTCCCCTCCCACTCTCCAGTTGAGCTGCAGCATCTGTCTAGTCTGAGCAGCATAAATATCACTTGGGTACTGACTATGCCACCTCCTGTACAACTCTGGGTAAATATTACACATGAGATACAAAAAGAAACACACCTTGATTTTAAAAAAAACAACACAGTGTACACCTGGTGTTTACTGACCACTTGCACTAATTTGTCTGCTCACTCCTGTTTTATAGCATGAAATCACAAAATCAACCAGGCTGGAAAAAGACTTCTGAGATCATCAAGTCCAACCTATGACTGAACACCATCGTGCCAACCAGACCATGGCACTAAGTGCCACATCCAGTCTTTTCTTAAACACCTCTATAATATTCTAAATAAACCTTAAGTTGCAATGTGGGAAGACAGACTGCTGCACCACTTAGTATTTTACTGCTGATGAAGTTTTCAAGTCCACTTTTCTCACATCATTTTACCTAAACATGTCAACTGCATCCAGCATTCAGATGCACGAGTCTTTTTTCCAAATTAATGTGTCATCCACAACCCTTTGTGATCCAGCCATGTGAGCCAAAATTAAAAAAAAAAAAAAAAGAAAAAGAAAAGAAACCAGCAGAGAGAAAAAGTAAGCAGGAAACCACTTGGCTTGAACCCTAGAGGGTGATGCCCCACTCTGCACTGTGTGTTCTCATTACAGAGCTCAGTTCCTGACCCCTGTGTACGAGCAGGTTCAGCGCCTTCCTTTCTGGAGCACGCTGCCTGCTTTTGAACTTGAGCTGCTGAGAGAGTTTATGAACAGAGCTGTTGTTTTATTTACTCTCAATTAATCATGCTCAACTGTAAACAAAGTGTCTGTTTTAGTTCTGCTGACAATTATCCACTTGTCAACATCTCCCTCAAGTACCTTCAGCATCTGGCAACAGCACAAAACTGCTACATCAAAATGAACGTTTTGTCTCAATAAAAAGATAGACGTGTGGCAGGGTTTCATCTGTTTTCCAGCCCATCAACAGTCAAGCTACATTGCTACTGATGCAACCAGACCACTTGCTATGGAATATTTACAAAGGAGGAGGGAAGCCAAATGTTATTTATATTAGTAAGGCAGAGTCACGGAAGAAAGTAGTGGAGAGCCCCAAAGAGCCCCAACACCTCCCCACGAAGGCAGAATGAGCCCTCCTTGCAGCCTGCCTGGTGCCTCCTGTTCTGCTGGTGCACATCCAGCACCAGCTTCACCAGCCACCATGCCAAAAGCTGCAGAGTAGGACTTGCTTCTTTATTTTGTGGTGTTCAGCAAATCCCAATGCAAATGGAAACCACTTACTGGTGCTTCCCCAAATACTTTTAGTATGATAATTTTTCCACTACCTGCTCCGTGGCCTGGGCATTCTTTGGTCCCTGGAGCTCCTGTACTGGTTTGAATTTTGCCATTTTAAGCTTGTAAGATATAATTATTCCCATTAGCTCAAAATCCTTCCTGCATTTTAACACAACCTCCCTGGTGCTTAAATTGAAAGCTCCAAGGTAAACTGCAGATAGCCTGGTACCTTTTTGGGTACAATAAGGAAAAACTGGACACTCCTTTTCTTCTGAGGGGACAAAGGTAGCTTGCCAGGTAACCTCCCTGACAGGTGAGGAGGCTCCAAGGTTCTGGGCCTATGGAGAACATCACCTCCCACCTCTGAGTCACCAAAACCGCGTGCTGTGGCTCTGGTTACCTCAAATCTTTAATAATATTTGAAACTTCACCCAGCTACAGCAAAGTAAGGGGGAAATCTGGAAGCCACTCCAGCCCTGCACCTTTTCTCCACAGAACTGAGTTTTCTCCCCAGAATAAAACACTCAGGGGTGCGTGGGAGGGCCGGAGGCTCCACTGAACGGACCGACCAGAGGCAAAGCTGAGAGAGACCCCCGGGCCGTACCTGCTCCGGGCGGCAGGTCCAGCGCTCCCAGGAATCCCGGCTGCTCCCGGCGGGATTCCCCCCGGGAAGGCGGCTCCGCGCGGGCCGCCGCGCCCTGACAAGCGCTAATCAACCTGAGCTGTGTAATTGATTCTAATGAGCTCGGATCTGGCTCTGGAGCCGCACTCACGACCGCCCGAAGTCGGCGGCGGCTCCGGCCGCGCTCCCTGCCCGCAGCCCCTGCCCGGCCGGACCGCAGCCGCCCCTGTAACCTTCTCCTCCCGCCACAATTAATTGAGATATCTTTTACACTTGATGTGTTGTAAAATTAATGCCTAATTTATGTAATTAGTCAATTAACTGTAATTCTAGCATATGGTGCCAAATGCCCAGAAGGTGTTCTTGTTTCCCAGGTACTTATTTTGATGTCATGAAATGCAGCTAATTAATTTTACATGCATATTAATTTCGGATCTATTTAGCGGCTCCCTTTGTGAAGGCAGATTTAATATTTGTCTTTCTAACCTTTTTGGGCAAATTCCGCGCTCGGTGTTGAAATGGAGGTGACTTTTAAAACACATTTCCATCGGTCTCCCTTTCCTCTGCGGAGCCTCTGCTGACACCGGGTCGATCTCTCCTGTGTGAAGATGCACAAGGGCTGATTATCTATAGCTTCCCGCACATCTATAACTGTCGCAAGATACAGCTATTGAATTTAAATCCGATTAATATTTAATATTAAACATTTCTCAGGGAATTTTTGTTTGTTTTTTGCAAAGCACAATATCCCACGGACATTTTTTTTTAAATAGCTGCTCTTAATACAATGCTCCTTGGAAAAATTATGAGAATTGAATTATCGCCTAATTAGAAAATGAGCGTAATCCTGATCGCTGGCTTCTGATGTTCGCAGTTCTCCTGACTGCGCTGAGAAACTGCACTTCGCCTCTCCCGGCCCCGGGAAGCGCTCCCGCTCCTCCCAGCAAACCGTTCAGGTTCCACTTCTGTCTCTGTCGGAAAGCGATCGCGTTTGATTTTGTCCATAATACTGGGAAAGATGAGATTATGCCTCTTCTTTCTGCAGTTTGTGCAGAGATTAAGGGGTTAATCGCATCGCGGGCTTTCCCGCTCCCCAGATGCTGAGAGAAGATTTAAGTAGAAAAAGAGATGAAACCCGTAGTCTACGCCTCAAATTCCCAGCGATACCCTTTTCCCTTTGCCGCAGCAGCACTAATTGCCGCATTACGCTCATCTCTGGGGTGAGGGGAGGTACAAACGCGCCTGGCTGAGGGTGCGGGACTCCGCGCGTGGGGCGGGCGCGCTCCCGCTGCCCGGACCTCTCCAGCCCCGGGGAAAGGCTTTCCTGCGGAGCGGCAGGACGGGACTTGGCTCTTTGAGCCTCTACGCGAGTGCTGTGGCGTCATAAAACTTTTTATCCCCCTTTCTGGATAAATTAATGAGCAATTTAATTAATAAAATCAGAGAGTAGCGTAAGTGCTATGATAATGAAGTTAAATGAGCGCGCAGTAAAATATTCACTAATCCAGCACATTGGCAAATGCCCCCTTAATTCTGCTTAGCACTAAAAGGGTTTTGAGCACCATAATGAGATTCCTCTGTCTGCTAATTAATTGACACTCTCCTGAATATTCATATGTGCTAGCACCAATACGTTCCTAATTGCACCGTGGAATGGATCTCAGAGGAAAGTAAATCGCCATAGACTTAATTAAAATAATGTATGCCAGATCCAGCTCGCTGAAGACGAGACATTTGCCATCAAGCAGTGTAAGAAAGTGGCACCTGGTTTGTAGCGAAAAATGAGGAGAAAATCTTTATCCCTCCCAAGGTGAAGTCAGCAGGGGCTGCGAAGCGCCAGGCTTTTCAGCCTGGAGATCTGGAAGCGAGAGAGCTTCGCCTTCCACCGCCGCGGCCAGTGCGCGACCCGCGGAGCCCGATCGCGTTCGGGGCCGCGCTCGGAGGAACCGCAGCTCAAAGGGGGGAGCGGGCTCTGCACGGTGAGGTGGGAGAAATCTGGTCAGGGATGCCCTCTACAGAAGCGTTCAGGGAAAACCGTTTGTCTCCGGCGAGGGAGAGGAGGAGGGGGAGGCAGCGAAGGAGGGAGGGAGCAGCCACATTTGTAAACTTTTCCTTGAGGGGAATCCGGTGCCTTTGAAGCTCAGTCTCTGAATGGATTGTTCTTTGCACCTCCAGACTAATACTGTGAGCTAATATTGTACATTTAAATTGTTCTGCTGTTAAAAGCGTGGCAAGTTGCGCTGAGAAATGAGCGCCTGGCGCTGCCTGGCCGCGGCCTCCATCCCGCGCCGGGGGAGCGGCGGGGGCCGCGCCCCGGGCTCGCTGGGCGGGCTGCGCCCAGGCCCCGCATCCCCCGCTGCCGCTGCAAAGCACACGTAAAGCGCTTTGCTAGGTCTTTTCCTTCCCTACCAGCTCAGGAAACGAAAAGGAAAACTGGTTTCTTGGAAAAGACAGCTTTTAAAAAAATCACCACAGGTTAGAAACTAAAAAGAGTTTATTTGAAGACATACAAATGCATATTTATTATACACATGTAGGCATTAACAATGTAAATTACACCGCCAGCACTTGCTGGTTGTTTATTCATTAGATCTTTAGAAAATCTACATTGCCTGCAGATAGCGGGATGATAATGTGAGATACACAAGCAGTTTACCCAGGCAGCTCCGCCCGGCTCCGCGCGGGGCTCCAACAGGTCCGCGGGGCTCCGCGCCGGCCACGGGTCCCTCTCGCTACCGGGGGCGCTTCTTCCGAGTGTGATTCTACCTTGACGAGAAAACGGCCGTGCCCACTGAAACCGCCGTCACCCAAAATACAGCGCGAGGGTTTTACGGGTCGTGGCTCAAGAGGGAGCGAACTTAGGCGGAAACACTTCCTAGCAGAAGAAATACGAAGGGGCTCCCCTGAATGACAGCGCAGGCATCTCGCTCTCACAGCTCTAAAAGCTCTGCCGTTCGCAATACCTTTTATTCCCATGTAAAATCTTTCCTCGCCAAAAGGAGTAAAAATCCTCTATCAAATTCTATCCTCTTCGGCTGACTGAATGCTGTGTGACTACCGTATCTCTCGATAATAAAGACAGAGAAAAATATATGGGAAGAAATCGCTGCGGGGAAATCTTTTCTAAAGTTAGATCCAAAGAATCTCTTCCAGGAATGAAATATTAAAGAAGGTTAATATGGTTTTTGCTGTAGAGCTGAGGGTTGATGGGAAGACGGGAGCTGTGCGGCCGGGAGCTGAGGGTGGAGGATGTCAACAGATGCAAGGGAGCGATGGAAGCCGCTGGACTCGGGAAGCGCAACCAGCGCTTCGCCTGCAGCCGCCGGGCTGCCCTGTCACCCCCCGCCCTGCCCTTCCCTGCGCTGCGGGGCGCGGTGCGGGGCATTCCCCGCAGCCTCGAGCCGGCCCTGCGGACCCCGAGGTGGGCGCTGGGCCGGTCCCCGCAGCAAGGGAGGGGGCGGGCAGCCCCCCTGCTTTCCCGAGGACACAGCCGGGAAGGCGCTGCCCCTTCCCCGCGACACGGGCCCGCACTCGCGGGTGTGCGGGGGCCGGGGGGCTCTGGGCGGTGCTGTCCCGTCCCGTCCCATCCCGTCCCGCCGAGGAGCGGGGGCGGGGAGCGCCGCGCTCGGGAATCGTCCTCCCTTCCCTGGGCAGCTCGGTGGGTGGCAGCGGGGCGGGGGGCGCGGGGAGGGGGCTGCGGCAGGAAGGCAAAGCGCCCACACATCGCACCGCACCCCCACCGCGCTGCGGCAACTCACGGGTCTGTTTGCAAACATGCCCCCCGCCAACAGCGAGAAAAACACGAGCATTCAAAGTTCTGACCCTAATTAAAGCCCGGCTCGTTAAAGACTTCACACAATGCAGGAAAAAGTTTGTCCGAGCCTGAATTCCGCGAGCGGTTATTACCTTTGCTTTTAAAGAGGGGAAATAACCGTAACGTGCGCGCCATTATTCTTGTGGATATGCAATTTAAAATCATCGCCAATTGTCATAAAAACCATTTCACAATGTTTAGCTAAGTAATAACTTAGTCATTTAAAGGTGGTTTTCCGGGCGACACGGACATGCAATTCAAGAAAGATTTACATTGCTTACGGGCTTTGCACCGCCGTTCTGACCGCAGTGGGAACGGGACTCAGTCTAATTTTTTTCTTTCTGATTTTGCACGGAACACCAAGACGAGACCAGACTGTGGGAGAAAGCGTGAATGGGATGAGCGTGTCTCGGAAAAAAAAAAGCTGATGATAAAAAATAAAGTTTATGAAACGGACGGATTTGGAAAGAAGAGTCCTCGAAAAAAAAAGAGAGGGAGAAAGAAAAGAAAGAAAGAAAAGAATGAAAAAGGAAAATCAAGTTTGCTCCACCCAGCTATTAACCAAAACACAATACCTTTTTCTGGGTGGTACTGCACAGAAGTTGATTCAGTTTTGACAATGTTGTTTAGCTATCATTTGCTATTTTGAATGAATGGGAGCAATCCCCCTTTTTACAACAGTTGTTTCCTATTATGGAGAGGTGCAGCAGTTGAGGGCAGACATGTGAAAGTGGCTGTTTGATTCCCTTTTTCATCCCCCTGACCCTGCCTTTGTCCCTCCTCACCCTGGGAATGTCACGCCTCACTACTTCACTTTGAGATGCTCTAGAAAGTGGCTTTGTTATTCCCTTTTAGACATACACGAAATTGTTCTCATTCCCCCTGCTGTAAAAGATACTTCAAATTGGGACTCGGTTCACAAGTGCAATGCAATTTGGCTTAGCTCAACCTTTGTTCTGCTTGTACAAATGACCAAACAGTGCACACATTATACAGTTGATCTACTGCTCCCTTTACACCAGAGTTAGCGGCTGGGAGAAAAGCAAGTTAATCCCTTCAATACTAAGGTGGCATTTTCAATATTTCCTACAATGCGAGAAGGAGAAGAGAGGGCAGCTTGAAATGCGACATTTGTTTAAAAGGGAAGATTAAAAAGAAAAAGTTTGCGAGGCCTCCCCTGTTACTTCTCCAAATAAATAAATAAACAAACCAACAAGTCCCAAACGTGTAGATAAATACTCCAGCGCCTCCGGGAAGGCAAGGGAAGTTTACCAGAAAGACAGGCTCTCAGGGCAGTAACGTCGAGACTCGAGCTGGAATCCGCGCCAACAGCGCAGTAATAACAGTGCTGGGGACTCACCGCTGCTGCGGGGCCCGAGCCCGCGGCCCGGGCACACCTGTATGGCCCTGAATACACCTGTACAGCCCGGGCACACCTGAGCAGCCCGGGCACACCTGAGTGGCCCCGGGCACACCTGTATGGCCCTGAGTACACCTGTACAGCCCGGGCACACCTGAGCAGCCCGGGCACACCTGAGTGGCCCCGAGCATACCAGAGCGGCCCTGAGCACACCCGCACAGCCCGGGCACACCCGTATGGCCCGGGCACACCCGCACGGCCCCGCGGAGGTGGGACGGGCGGGGGGCAGGCGCGGGCAGCGCTGTGTGTGCCCAGCCGGAGCTCACGCACTCCGTGTGTCGGCCCCGCGCAGCCCCGGCTCCTCCGAGCCCTCCAGGGAGGTCCCGGGGACGCGGAGGGAGGGGGGGCTGCGGGGCCGCGCTTACCCGCGCGTGGATTGACCGCCGGCGACGGAGGAAAAAGAGCTTTCCCAGGAAACCAGCCCCAGGAGCGATGAGCGGGAGCAGCAGCCTCCTCCCGGGCTTAAGGAATTCGAGTGGTCCCAGCGCGGGCTCTCTTCGCGCTGGGCAGGGGCGAAACGATGGCGCTGGGCCGGGACAGGGGGCCCAGCCGGTGCCCCCCCGGCGGTGGCGCAGCGGGGACAAGTGCCGGGTGCTGGTGGCGCTTGAAATCGCCGACGGGGCGGGCGAGGACAGCGCGAACAGGCAGCCGGCTCTGAGGAGGGTGACAGCGGCGAGGAGCCAGCGGGCGGCACGGCAAGGCAGGGCAAGGCAGGGCAGGGCAAGGCAGGGCAGGGGTGGCCGAGCCCAGCGCCGGGAGCCCCGGGCCCCGAGGGGCGCAGCCGGGCCAGGGCCTCCTCGGGCACAAAGCGCACTGTGCACCTCAAGCTATCGGGAATACAGGTTTGGGGAGCAGTTCTCAGTCCAGCCTTGACAAGCAGGGGGAGTTTGTTTAGTGCTCGTTGGGAAAGGAACAAAATCCTTTTGAAAGGGCGCTAAGTAGTTTCACGCCAAAGTGGCAGATTTGGTGAAGAATGTGGGGTGGGACAAAGCCCTGCCGTTCCCAGAGCGGCCGCAGCGCTTCGGGAAACCGCACCGGGAATTCAAGCACACAGAAAAGCAGGAGACCCCAAATCTCCCTCCTGGCCCCCGAGAAGGAAAAAGAAGCAGAACCATTACTGAAAAAAAGAGAGCAAGGCTTAGCCGAAACGCAGCCACAACCAGCAGCCTGGAGTTGACTTTCCAAAACGGGGGAAGCTTGCTCAGAGCCTGGCATTGTGTTTTGCAGCCTAGGAAACCCTAAGAAGCTGGTACTTCCCCCCTCCCTTCTCTTTTCTCCCAACTGGTTTGTAAATATTAACAAGGTTGTGAGCTATTCTCTCACACGGAGTGGGTTTTTTCTACCCTTGGAAAACTTCTTGGCTTCCCCCCACAGCCCCTCTCCCACTCCTCCCCTCTGCAAAGCTGCACACCTGCTTGCAGCCACAAGGATTCAAAATCAATATTGTATTTGTCACTTTTCTGTCTCCTTTTCCTCTCTCAACAGACCTGCTTGCCACTGAGGCGAATTGTGGATTTATGGAGGAAAATTAGCATAAATTATTAGCAAATCTGTAAACGTGTGTGGTCTTGCTTGTGGGAAAGGGGGCTATTGCAAACCTTCCATGCAGAAAGGTGGTCCATGATGGGCTCCATGCAAGGGCTGAATGGCCCTTGCACGAAATAGATTTCCATTGGGTTTGCACATTGATATAATTGACTTATGTGTATTTTATACAGTTTTCCCAACACTTCCTCTGAGCTCCTTATTTGAATTAGACTTCAGAAAAACGTCTATTTGTTTTGGTGTCCTACACAATGGATTTGGATTCACTTGCATCCTCTCCTCCTCCCTAGTGTTGGCTTTCAAAGTAAAAAGCAAATGCTACAAGTTGCATTTAAATCCTGTACTTCCCAGGTCTATCATCTGTTGTGTGCTTAACACGAGGTGAAACTTTGGGTATCAATTAGTGGGATGACTTCACCTGCCCTACCCCTCCGCTCACACATTCCTTTACAATGGAAAAAAAAAAAAAAAAAAAGAAGGAAAAAAAAATTGTGCGCCTTCCAGCCATACCTCGTTCGCACTCGGAGCAGCAAATGACAACGGAAGTCGACTTTTCTGTAACTTTGCAGCTTGCGGTTCCCTCTTGCACCAGCGGTTGTTTTGTTTTGTTTTCTTTCTTCGGAAAGAAAAGGTGCTGGGAAAAAGAGGAAGAAAAGAATTTGTCACTTTGTGAATCTTATTCACTCCCGTGCTGTTTCTGAGCCGTCTTTTTGATGGGCATCCCAGGAGTGAACTTGGGCTGAGAAACAAAACTCGAACTGCGGGGTGTTAGGAGTTGGGGATGGGGGGCTGGGATGTGGTAGGGCAGTGTCCCTTACACCCACATATTTGGGGGCTCTCAATACAGAAATAGAAGCCTTCTGCGTGGTGTCCTGGTGACGCCGGGAGGAATCTGTCCTCATTTCAGAGTATCGTCTTTCTTACCCCCTAATAAACAGTCATCATCTCATCACCTCTTACACCCCCAAAAATATTTCTGGAGACTGCCTTCCTGCCCTGCCCGGCTGGACGGAGCATCTCTGAGCCGGTTAAACTGAGCAGGGCAGCTCTCGGGCTCTGAACCGCACAAACGCTCCCGGGCCCTTCCCTGCCAGGGGCACAGGGTGACATGCGGCAGGTCTCCCTCCAAAAGGGCTCGTTAGCTCGGCAGCGCGGGGCCGCTCGGCTGCTCGGAGTCCTAGGAACACAATTATTTGCTCATTATTCTCTAAACGACATCCTGCCCCGAGAGAGAGGGATTAGATGGGACCGAGGGCAGGCGGGTTGGAAGGAGGGGAGCGCAGTGTAACACACACGAGATCGGCGCGGTGTGAAATGCGGTTTCCAGACTGCTGCCAGGTTTGAGGGAGCCCCGCTTGCTGGGGACGGTCCCTCCGAGGAGGCTCCCAGGCGCCCGCAGAGCCCGTGCCGCAGCGATCGCCCTGCGGAGCCGCCGCCGCGCTCCCTCCCCCAGCCCGGCTATTTTTGCTGAATTAAGAAGGTGACATTATTCTTCTTTTCAAGTACTTCTGTTAATATTGAAAAACGTGCGCTTGCATTTCAAGAGCGCGCTCTCAGCCTCAGCAGCCATTTCAATATTAATGAAATTGTTTAATCTCCTAAATTCATCGTGTTTAAGTTACGTTTTGGTGAGTTATTGACCGACTCCGAAATATTGTTAATGGAGTTGATGTGTATTCACCACAAAGGCTCTTCCTCCCAGGGCTTGCAGCTCCCGAGACAATCTTTAATTCTGGCTCTAGGGTGACAGGATGCACCGCAGCCTCGGGAATACACATCATACAAACTTCCCCCCTGTGCTAGGGCAAGCCTGGGACTTTCCGGGCCTCATCCTCCCCCCAGGACACGCGGCTGGCAGCGAGCTGCTCGTCTGGGCTGCGCTTCCAGGATCGGGCCTCGGTTCCCGGGGAGGAGGGAGGCGGTGAAGCAGAGAGACCCGCAATTCGGATGCTCCACACCCTGCCTGCTCCTCCACACCCTGCCTGCTCCTCCACACCCTGCCTGCTCCTCCACACCCTGCCTGCTGCTCCACACCCTGCCTGCTCCTCCACACACGGGTGCGCACCGAGCAGCACACAGGCAAGCGAACAGCCTGAGACACAGCGCGTAAATCCCACAGAAGGCGTCAAACTGAGGATATTGAGCATCATGACCGGTGACAGAGACTGGACAGCCCGGCCCAGCTCCGCGGGACCCCCCAGTCCCGAGGCCGGCCGGGCAGAGGGGCGAGCGGACTCTCCGCGGCCCCGCGAGCAGAACGGCGGCGTGCAGGGAACTCGTTCCCGAGCACACCGGGCTGTGCCACGGCCGGGAGCCCGCTCGCTGGGATTATTTAGGGCGATTCCCACGGCTTTACACCAACAGGTCCGCAGAACCAGTCCTGCATGGGCTGGGGGGGGAGGGTGGAGCGTGGTGGGGGGGGGGAGAGTAACTTCCCGGGGCGGCGGCTACCGAGGAGCCCCGATCTTATCGCTCCTCGAAAGAACCTTCGCTCGGGGAGAGCGGATTTGGCAAAGAGAAAGTCTCTCGTTACAGAGAAAAAGGCTTGCCTTAAGTTAGCCAACAATACAAATCAGATAACAATGCAGAACAAACAGAATACCACAGCCAAGCAATTTCCATGTCAAACATCCCACTGCTCAGTACCTCCATTTGTAAGTGTGAATTGCAGACTAAGCTTCCTGCAAAGTCCACAGAGAGGTTAGTGCATACCTTCCCCCCCACCCCCAGCCACCGGGTACCATCGCACTGCAATTCCGCTGGCGGAGCCTTTTCACCCCTCGCCTTGTCTTCAAATGGAAATGATTCCCATTGGCCCAAGGTGTCCATGTAAATAGGTGTAAATGAAACCAGATTATGCCTTTCTCTCCAGCCCCCTCCTCCCTGCTCCCCTCCCCCTGCTCCCAAGGCGATTGTCATATGATAGCAAAGAAGTGGCACATTAATGAAGCGCCTCTACAGGGGTCTTTTCTGCTCATGTCACCACATAAAACTATCAGATGGTTAGAGGAAGGACATGGAGGCAACTACTTAGCTCATCGCGGCTGCAGAGAAGCAAACAAGCCTCTGCTCCAGTCCAGCTGCCGGTGGTGTAAAAGAAGCTGATTCAGCCCGCGGAGGCGAAGGGAGGGGTGTACAAGAGGATTCCCAAAACCGAGCCAGCTCGCTGCCTCCTCAGGACTAAACCGGAGCAGAGTGGCCGCGAAAGGAGGGACAGACACGCCGGAGGAGCGGGGTGGGAAAGAGCCCGGACTCTCAGCTGCGTCCCGGATGCGGACTGTCAACTTCCAGCAACTCTAAGGTGGGCATATGCAGGGGGTAGCACGAAGTGGGAGACGAGGGGAGGGGAGGGGATGGGGTCCCCTTCTTCTCCTCGCCGAGACCAGAAGACAGAGCTATCACTAGAGTAACTTTACGGCCGCGGGCTGCAGCGGGAAGGCCAGGCTCAGGGAGGCCGGAGCTGGGAGAGGCACACCGTTTTTCCCCCGCCGGCGGCACAGAGCTCCGGGCTGTTTTCTCCTGCCCCCATCCTTCCATCCCCCGCCCCCATCCCGAGGGCTGAGGTCCATCGTGCCCTTTCCCTGCGTCCTTCTGTGTCCAGCCCGGCCCCAGACCCACCGCCTGCCCCGACTGGGTGTCCGTGCAAATCCTCTCGGACTCACCCCTCTCCCCCCATCCCCGCCCCCTCCCTTGTCGATGCCCCTCTGCAGATCTCCCCGGTCGCCTTGCGAAGATGCCTCGCCCGGGCAGAAACACTTACAGTGATCAGAAGCCTCCCTACTCCTACATCTCGCTGACCGCCATGGCGATCCAGAGCTCCCCGGAGAAGATGTTGCCCCTGAGCGAGATCTACAAGTTCATCATGGACCGCTTCCCCTACTACCGGGAGAACACGCAGCGCTGGCAGAACTCCCTCCGCCACAACCTGTCCTTCAACGACTGCTTCATCAAGATCCCGCGGCGCCCCGACCAGCCGGGCAAGGGCAGCTTCTGGGCGCTGCACCCCAGCTGCGGGGACATGTTCGAGAACGGCAGCTTCCTGCGGCGCCGCAAACGCTTCAAGGTGGTCAAGTCGGACCACCTGGCCCCCAGCAAGCCGGCGGACGCGGCGCAGTACCTGCAGCAGCAGGCGAAGCTGCGGCTCAGCGCCCTCGCGGCCACCGGCACCCACCTGCCCCAGATGTCCACGTACAACCTCGGCGTGTCCCAGCCCTCCAGCTTCAAGCACCCCTTCGCCATCGAGAACATCATCGCCAGAGAGTACAAGATGCCCGGGGGCCTCGCCTTCTCCACGATGCAGCCCATGCCGGCCGCCTACCCCCTCCCCAACCAGTTGACTACGGTGGGCAGCTCCATTGGCACGGGCTGGCCCCACATGTACAGCTCCGGCATGATCGACACCGCCACCCCCATCTCCATGGCCAGCAGCGAGTACGGCGCCTACGGCGTGCCCATCAAGCCGCTGTGCCACGGGGGGCAGACTTTGCCGGCCATCCCCGTCCCCATCAAGCCGACCCCCGCCGCAGTGCCGGCCCTGCCCGCCCTGCCCGCGCCCATCCCCACCATCCTGTCGAACTCGCCGCCCTCCCTCAGCCCCACGTCCTCGCAGACGGCCACCAGCCAGAGCAGCCCGGCCACCCCCAGCGAGACTCTGACCAGCCCCGCGCCCGCCCTGCACTCGGTGGCCGTGCACTGACCCGGGCCGCCTGCGCGGACTCTGCCTTCCCTCTCTCCCAAAGTTTCCTCGGAGCTCTCCTCCCTCCCCGCCTCTCCCTCCTTCCGCTCCTTTCCTCTCTTCTCTCCACTCTTTTCCTCGAAAGCAGAGACAACTCCCCGCGGGAAGCTGAGGTTTGCCGTGAGCCCTCCCTCGGGGTTCGGCTTTCCCCCTGCTCCTGAACTTTGCTTTCCGTTCTCCCGAGGCGAAAGGACCCGGCCCGGCCCCCTCCCGCCCGGTAGGAACTGCCACTTGCATCGCTAGTTTTCCAAAAGTACTTCAGGCATCTTCGCTGTGCCGGCGGCCAGGCGAGCCTGGCCCGGCGACGCCTCTTTCCTTCCTTTGTACGGGGAAGAGCAGGGTGTATCCAGGACCGGTCTGTAATTCCACAGACAGGGATGGCCGCTGCCTCACTGCACGGGAGCAGCGGCGTTTCCAGCCTCCAAGCAGCCAACGCTCGGATCTTGGAAACGCCGGGAAGTGCTCGTGTCCTTTGTGCGGGTCTCGTTGTTACAAAGGGCAGGATTTCCCGGGGCCAGGCTGCGGGAATCCCCGGGCAGGAGCCCCAGGCAGGGGGTGCGGGGCCGGCGCGGGAACAGGATCCACGCGAGGGAACCGCCGCGGTCCACTCAGCCCACACCTATAATGTTTACAAAGCGCCTGTTCTAATGTAAATACTGAACTTGCATCTGTACTGTACATCAGATGGGGTCCCTTTTGCAGTACCTGTTGTAACGTGGATGTTTACTGTAGTTTTCAGGTGAAAGAGAAGTTGACTCGCCTGCTAACTTCTGATTAACCCGAAGGTTTCGGGGGCTGGGGTTTCCTTTGTCGTTTGTTGGAGTTTTTTGTTGTTGTTATTTTAAAAATTTTGTAGCTATTTATTTCATAGCTTAAAAACAAACAACAACAATAATTATAATAAAAAGAAACCTGTCACCAAGCACATGACCCGACATAGCTTAAAGAAAAGCTGCTGAAGT